GCGTGGCATGGAGGCAATCAGCCTGTGGCACTGCTGAGGTGTTATGGAGGCCCAGGATGCTTCGATAGCGGCCTTAAGCTCATCCAGAGTGTTGGGTCTTGGTCTCTCAACTTTCTCTTCACAATATCCCACAGGTTCTCTATGGGGTTCAGGTCAGGAGAGTTGGCAGGCCAATTGAGCACAGTAATACCATGGTCAGTAAACCATTTACCAGTGGTTTTGGCACTGTGAGCAGGTGCCAGGTCGTGCTGAAAAATGAAATCTTCATCTCCATAAAGCTTTTCAGCAGATGGAAGCATGAAGTGCTCCAAAATCTCCTGATAGCTGCTGCATTGACCCTGCCCTTGATAAAACACAGTGGACCAACACCAGCAGCTGACATGGCACCCCAGTGACTGTGGAAACTTGACACTGGACCTCAAGCAATGTGAACTCTGTGTCTCCTCTCTTCCTCCAGACTCTGGGACCTTGATTTCCAAAGGAAATGCAAAATTTACTGTAATCAGAGAACATAACTTTGGACCACTCAGCAGCAGTCCCAGGCGAGATGCTTCTGATGCAGTCTCTTGTTCAAGAGTGGCTTGACCTGGGGAATGCGGCACCTGTAGCCCATTTCTTGCACACGCCTGTGCACGGTGGCTCTGGATGTTTCTACTCCAGACTCAGTCCACTGCTTCCGCAGGTCCCCCAAGGTCTGGAATGGGCCCTTCTCCACAATCCTCCTCAGGGTCCGGTCACCTCTTCTCGTTGTGCAGCGTTTTCTGCCACACTTTTCCCTTCCCACAGACTTCCCACTGAGGTGCCTTGATACAGCACTCTGGGAACAGACTATTCCTTCAGCAATTTCTTTCTGTGTCTTACCCTCTTGCTTGAGGGTGTCAATGATGGCCTTCTGGACAGCAGTCAGGTCGGCAGTCTTACCCATGATTGTGGTTTTGAGTAATGAACAAGGCTGGGAGTTTTTAAAAGCCTCAGGAATCTTTTGCAGGTGTTTAGAGTTACGTCGTTGATTCAGATGGTTAGGTTAATAGTTGTTTAGAGAACCTTTTCATGATATGCTCATTTTTTGGGACAGGCATTTTGTGTTTTCATGAGCTGTATGCCATAATCATCAGTATTAAAACAATTAAAGACCTGAAATATTTCAGTTGGTGTGCAATGAATCTGAAATATATGAAAGTTTCATTTTTATCATTACATTATGGAAAATAATGACCTTTATCACAATATGATAATTTTTTGAGAAGGACCTGTAGAAAGTACACTTGAACTATAGAAACCACACCTGGACCTGTCATTCTGTGTCTGTTTCTCCTTCCTGTCCTCTCAGACCAGCCGGTCAAAGCAGATGGTCTCTTGTCCTGGGCCTGGTTCTGCTGGAGGTTTCTTCCTGTTAAAGGGAGTTTTTCCTTCCCACTGTCTCCTTTGTGCTTGCTCAGGATGGGAGACTGTGATGAAGTGAAGATTCAACACAGTCTGCTGCCTCCTTAGATAGAGAACTTTACTGATTGTCTTTTATAAAGTCTGTGAATGTTTCTGTTCAGAGATTTGAGACGACTTCTGTTGTGATTTCGAGCTTCAGAATAAACTGAAATGAATTATGTGACTGACGTCACGACTGACACGGTCTGAAATATTGATTATTAAACAGAGCATCACTTCACAATCACTGGACTGCTACTTTAAAGAGATGGCTGACTCAGTTTAGGACTCAGCTTTCCTCAGATTTTATCTTTAAATAAAAGAAGACTTCATACCTTGCAGCATCTCTCAGCTCTTCCTCGGCTCGCTGCAGCTGCTCCTCCTGCTGCCTCCTCTCCTTCTGAACCTCCGATAGGTGCTTACCCAGAATCCTCAGGGAGCGCTCCTTCCGACTCACCTCTTTTCGAGTGTCCAACAGGGCCTGCAGACAGGTGGAGAGTCAAGTCAAGTCAAGTCATCTTTATTTGTAGAGCACAATTTAAAACAGATAAACTGTTATCAAAGTGCTTAACAGAAATGTAGCAAAACATAGGCAGCAAAACAAAAACATCATACAGAATTAAAATTACTGGAGCAATAACACACACTAATGATCACACTAAGGAAAAACAAGCAGTAAAAATAAACGTCAATCATAAAACAACAGAATTTAAAATGAGGTACACAGAACAAAATAAACTAACTCACACCGTATTAAACGCCAGAGCAAACAGGTGCGTTTTAAGGAGGGATTTGAACATCAGGAGGGAGGAGGCCTGCCTGATGTTGAGGGGCAAGTTGTTCCACAGGTTGGGACCTCTGACTGAAAAAGCTCGATCCCCTCGGAGCTTCAGGCGTGATTTTGGAACGACCAAGAGAAGCTGGTCCGATGATCTCAGGGCCCGAGACGGAACATATGGTTCCAGGAGCTCGGAGAGGTAGAGGGGTGCGAGGCCATTTAGGCACTTATATGTCAGGAGGAGAATCTTGAAGTCGATTCTGGATCACACAGGAAGCCAGTGAAGGGAGGACAGAACAGGTGTGATGTGCTCAGACCTACGTGTACCAGTTAAAAGCCGAGCAGCTGCATTTTGGACGAGCTGGAGACGTGAAATGGACGCCTGACTGACCCCAGCATAAAATCAGTCATGACTGATGAGAGGACTCATGACTTTAAAAAAACTCTTCTTCACCTGATGACCCAGTTCATTAAGAGTTTAATATAAATGTTCCTGACAACAGGAAACAGAACCAAGACCTTTGACACAACCGGCTGGTTGTTGTACCTGGGTGGTGTGGGTCAGTGTGTGTTGTGTTTCTGTCTCCTCCGAGGACTTGTTGTCCACTCGGTCCTGCAGGGTGTGAAGCTGTTTGGACTGTTCCTTCATCAACATCTGGACCTCCTGCTCCCTGGTCAGAGCCTGACGGAGCTCCTCACACACACTGTGGAAACGCTCGGAGGGAACCTGAGCACATGCACACACAAAAACACACACACACACAATAATTATAGGAAACAAGAGACAACACAAAGCCCCAGAACAAAAACAACGAGACAAAAAGCCCAGAGACGTTGTGGCGTCGACTTTCTCTCAGGGTTTCTTTGATTTGATAAACTGGTTGTGTGTCTTCCGGCGCTAGTGTTCGAGGCTTGCCATTCTACTCTGTCTGCAGTGATCGTGGGTTGTTTTTTTGTTGTTTTTGTAATTTTTCTCCTTCGACATCAACTCAGTGCTGGTTTATGATCGTCAACAACTCCTAAATCTGGAATTATCTGCCACCAACCTTGCATTTTTTGACCATGATGATCGGAGCTCTGGACCCCCACCCCCTCTGCTTGTTGATGTACCTGTTTACCTGTGACGTGTGGCTCTCCTGCTTGTTCGAAGGCATCGCCCAGCCTCCATGGAAGACATGTTGGCCGTCTCACGAGAAATAAAGCCAGCATGGTACTGTCTGGTCTGGTGCATTGTCTCCAGCCGATCATCAGCTGGTAAATCGCCTGTCCTGGTGCTTCGTTGATCCTGTCGAGTCCTGCCTGATTTCAGTGGTGGGGCCTGGTCCTCACAGCAGTCCTGTTCGCCGCCGCGATATTTCCGGTCTTAGGAGACATGGATCGAACTCCATAAATCTGAAACCGTTGGTCTGAGCTCGGTGGTCAAGTTCTTCTGCAGCTGCGGTCCCTACAAGGACGGCCATGTTAAACGCCAGGTCTCTGGCTAATAAAACTTTCATCTTGAATTACTTTTTCTGCTCAAGCAGATTGGACTTCCTGTTTGTTAGAGACCTGGCTCTGCTCTGGTGAGTTTAGTGCTTTTTCTGAGCTTTTGCCGTCTGATTTTCTTTTTTAATGCTCCAAGGTCATCTTGTAGGGGTGGTGGATTACTGACTGTTTTAAAAAAGACTTTTGAACTGCAGACAGCTACAGGCAACAGATAATTATTCAAGCTTTGAAATGCCGTTTTTTTTAACTGGGTCGCTCCAATTCGGTTTTGTGCGCCGTGATCTACAGACCTCTCAAATACAACAAGGATTTTCTGAATGAACTTTCTGATTTTCTGAATGGAATATTGCACAAATATGATGGTGTTTTAATTGTGGGGGATTTTAATGTCCACATCTGTTGCCCTGAAAAGCCTTTGGCTCAAGAGTTTTTAAGTCTTATCCAGTCTTTTAACTTTGTGCAGAATGTTGTTGGTTCGATTCATCAGAAGGGCCACACACTTGATTTGTTATTATCATATGCTTTATCTGTTTTTAATGTAAAAATTGTGGAAGCTGTTTTCTCGGACCAGTCTTATTTTGTTCAACACCTCGTTTGTCTGTGAATCTATATCTCTGGCTCCAACCAGGACATGTCGGATATTTAACCACTCCACTGGTGCTCTCTTCTCCTCTGCCTTTACTACAGTTTCTGAACCCTCTGCTTGCATCGGTACACATGAGCTGCTCACTAAGCATCAGGAGACCTGTGTTAAGATCTTGGACCAAGTGGCACCATTAAAAACCAGGCAGCAAAAGTGCACACCACACCCTTGGTTAAATGAGACCTCCCAAGCAGCCAGATGGCAGTGCAGGAAAGCTGAGTGCAAATGGAAGAAGGATAAACTACAAGTTTCTTTCATTATGTTAAAAACATGTTGGAAAGACTACTAGATCACTGTTAAATCAGAAAAAAATAAATACTTCTCCAAAATTATCACCAAAAACAGTCACAACCCCCATGTTCTTTTTAACACCATTTTAAATGTGCCTCAGTCTGCCGCATTGAGGTCTCTGTAGACACCTGCAATAGGTTTGTCAGGGATTTTGTTGAAAAGGTTGAGTCGATTAGGCCATCGATTCCACACTCCACAACTGACCCCTCTGTCTTTGTCCCTTGTTCAGCTGTTTTCAGTCAGTTTGAACCCATTTCACCCTCATTTTTAAATGATGTTCTCCTGGCTTTCTACTCTGCTCCTGTTTCCTGGAATATCTTGCAAATAATTTGACCTTGACCTCTCTAAGTGGCTTCAAACATCTGTTAAGTTCCTGGGAAAAAACAATGCAGACATGTTCCTGTTTTTAGTTTCCTACATCACTTTAAAATCTAGCTGCTTGTGTTTCATTTTTTAAATACCATTTTCTTTCATTTATTCTTCTCAATTTATAAGTTTTCTTTCACGTTTGTCTACTGTTGTCTTTGTTGTCTACTGTTGTCTTTGTTGTCTACTGTTGTCATCACTCTTTGTTAGGGTGCATTCACACCAGCCCTGTTGTCCCAAACTCTAGCCCATTTGCCTAGGAAGTCTGGTTCGTTTGGGGAGGTGTGAATGCACCATCGAACTCTGTCACGGAACAAAAAGGCGAACTCTGGCCCGGTCTAAAACCTAGGTCTCGGTCCGGTAGAAGAAAACTCGAGCGCGGTTCCAGTACAGTGTGAATGTAAACAGACCGGGCACCGCTCCACAAACAGGAAGTGGAGTACAGCACAAGGCAAACAAACGCGCATTTCTCTGACCTCATATGGAGCCGTCAGCTGACTTGTGTGAAAAACAAAATTCTCCATGATCTTCTGTCTCATCTTCTGCTCATGCTGAGTCCATTTTTGAAAAATGACAAAATATAACTCCTAAAACTGCTAAAACTTGATGCCACTCCGTTTTTGTTTTTATTTTCAGAAGAAGACGACGTGTCTTCAGAGGTTTTTGTCGTTTCTTTCAGTAGTTCTTGGTGCAGCGCCCCCACAGGCGAGCGGGGGAACAGGTTGCTTCAACAGGTTGACTCGACTGCACAGTGCAGTGTGAATGCAAACGCACCAGCTCAAATGTAACAAAAGCTCATGAATATTGGTCCCCAACCGAATCGAGTCTACCGGACTACAGTTTTAAATGTGCTTTATAAATAATGTTGATTTGACTTGTTGCGTTGTGTTCGGTCACACAGACAGATGTGTACGTCTCACCGTCTGATCTTTTTCACGTCGCAGTGCTCTCTGCAGATTGGCCACCTCCAGCCTCAGGCTCCGCCTCTCCACCTCGGCTGAGTGAAGACGTTGACTGAAGAGCAGGAAATGCTGCTGGAGGGCCGACACCAGGGTCTGATGGGAGAAAACACACACACACAGATGGGTCAGCAGGTGGATACAAGGCAGGTGGAGAACGTCAATGTTCCTCGGGTCCAGTCACCTTTGAGTCCAGCTGTCGAGGTGTCAGTCTCCTCAAGAAGTCCTCCTCTGCGCTGTCAGAGGAAATACTGTAAGCTGATTGGTCCAGGAGATGATCCAGGAGGCGGGACAAGCCTGACTGAGCAGCTGAGATCACTGGACTTGAGGAGCCTAGAGAGTCAGAGACACTGCTGAGGTGAACATCTGTATAAAACATTTGTGCTGAGTCAGCATCATACCGTCGTTGACTCGTTTTGATTTTTCCACATGTACGAGCACCTCTGCATGCTTTGTGTTACTTTAGCTGTTTATCAAAACATTAGGCTCATTCAGGATGTGCGGTCACTTTTGTGTTTTCTAACTTCATGCCTTTCAAAATTACTAACTTTATTTACAAACAAAAAACTATTTTTAATCTGCTTACTGTTTTTATAAGCTTTTAGCTAGCATTTTGGGACTTTAAGCATTTAGCTAAAATTTCTGCTAGGTTTAGCTTTTAGCTTCTGCTTTGCTTCTTTGGACAAGACACCAACATAACTGGTTTGTTCCACTTTGGAGTAAGCTGTTGGGGGAAGAATCAGTTTTGTGTTGTGTGTTTCCTTGACTGATGAAGCCTTCTGGATGGAAGGTGAAACGTTTCAGCACAAAAAAAAAAAAAAAAGAAACTGTCCAGATGACCTGACTGAAAATTGTTGGATTGTATACCTGGATTATTGAGCATGGACTTTGTTGGTTTAATTAGAGAAACTATTTTCTGTGAAAATGCAGTGTGAATGCCTATTGCAAAACTTGCTGAAAAACTGCTGAAATAAGCTAAAAACGTTGAAATTAAAAAACAAGCCTAAAATAGCAGAAGCAGAAAGAAAATGTTTGCTGAATTAGGTTTAAATAAGCACAACTGAGCACAAAATGCTGAAAACAGCTGAAATTAGCTAAAAATTTGCTAAAAAATTTGCTAAAAAAGCAGAAAGAAGCTAAATTACCAAAATAAATTGAAGAGAGCACATTTTTGCTGAATTATGCTAAAAAAGTTGAAATGAGGAAAAAAAAAAAGAGGAATTATCTGAAAAAACCTAAATTAGCATAAAAATGCTAAATAGTAGCTGAAATAGTAGAAAAGGCTGAAACACAGAGATAAGCTGAAAGGAGCAAAACATGCTGAAATTAGAAGCAATAAGTTAGAAGAAGCTCAAAACTGTTGTAGTTAGCAGAAAAAAATCTGAAAAAAGCAAAAAACAGCTAAAAAAAACAACTGAAATCAGCTGAAAGTAGCTGAAAACAGTTTACATTTGCAGAAGGAAGCTGAAGCAGAACAAAATGTGAAAGGAGCAGTAAAATGTTGTAAACACATCTAAAGATATGAAGGATGTAAAATGAGTTCAGTTCATTTATTGAGAACAAAATGGCTGAAAAAGCTAAATATTTCAAACAGCTAAAGTTGCGCCAACACCAAAAGTCATAGCAGGACTGTCCTGAAAGAGCTGAACGTTTTGATTTATGATTTGTTGAAATAGTTTGAAAACTGCAGAACGAGAAAGATGCTGAAAATGTCCAGAAGAAAAAAGGATGACATAATGCTTCATAAACATTCAGACTATTACATGACCTCAGACTCTGAAGGTCACGGTTCGGTGTGGACACATGACCTGAGGACTCTGGAGAAGCAGAACACCAGAATTAACACTCCACCTTAAATTCTCACACAACTCCTCTCTTCATCAGACGACCATCTGAGTTTTCCCCGTCTGAGCGAAGTGAACTTGACTTTACAGGTTTTCCCTGGTTTCCAGAGTGGCTGGGAGCCGTGGTGTGCAGTTACTGGTGGTGTGCAGTTACTGGTGGTGTGCAGTTACTGGTGGTGTGCAGTTACTGGTGGTGTGTAGTTACCGGTGGTGTGCGGTTACCGGTGGTGTGCGGTTACCGGTGGTGTGCGGTTACCGGTGGTGTGCGGTTACCGGTGGTGTGCGGTTACCGGTGGTGTGCGGTTACCGGTGGTGTGCGGTTACCGGTGGTGTGCGGTTACCGGTGGTGTGCGGTTACCGGTGGTGTGCAGTTACCGGTGTTAGCGAGCGCCCCCTGCAGGTCACACATGGAGGACAGGATGATGGAGGAGAGCCGTTCAGAGCGAAGCCAGCGAGCACACACACCTTCAGCAGCTTCATGTACAACACAAAGATCAACAAGACCTCAGGATCCTGAGCTTCAACGTCCTGTTCATGTGCAACAGACCACTCACCTGTCTGAGGATCAGCTTGACCCTTCTGTGTTGCCGTAGATGAGTCTCCACACACACAGATCCTGCCTCCTCCTCTGTCCACATGAAACAACACGGTGGTCCTTCTGCTCAGAGAACACCACCTCCTCATCGCCAGCACTGCACACACACTCCTCCTCCACCGCCTCAACGCCCTCCTTCCTCTTCCCTCCTCTTCCTCCTCTCCTCTGAATGCCTCAGCTAACCTCCTGACCTCCTCCTCCAGCAACTCCTTCTCCTTCAGCTGCCTGGACAGGAGCCGTTTCTGCTCACAGAGCGCGCTCAGACAGCGGTGGGCATGTTTCAGAGCTCCACACAGGAGGCCGCAGGCGGAGAAGAAGGAGGAAGACTCCTGACAGCTTCTGGAGAGGAGGCCCTGGAGCCGGGCGAGGTCAGAGGTCAGAGAGGAGCAGCGGCGCTCCAAGGAGGAGGCGCGCTCCCTGTGAGAGTCGCTCTGAGAATGACACAGCTGGAACAGAGCAAAGGAGGTGAAGTGAGTTCACAGGTGGAAGTCATCCCAACATGGCCAACTCTGATACTTGTCTGTACGTTAGCATCCATGCTAACCGTCCTGTGGTGAATGTTGTTTCTACAAACACTGTACTTTTTTTATCAGACGTAAAAATGTGTCCGTTTTTATTCATGTAACAATTATTTCAGCTGCTCTCTAGTTTACTCGTATTGATGGCGCTCATATCCATGATTTTTATAGAGGTGGGTGGGGGGGGGGGGGGGGAGGAAAGACACCCCTGGTTTTTTTGCTTTTTGTTGGAGGAAGGGGGGGGGGGGGGGGCACTCAGCATGAGGGAAATGGGGAGTTAACAGTAGCTTTTTAGCTAGCATGTCTGTATAGCGTGTGACTAGCTTAGCATTACGTCACTGTCGGCAGTTGTCGACAGTGGTGGGGGGTCAGTAGGCTGGGTGCTCAGTTCTGTTGATTGGGGGTGGGGGAGTGCCCTGCTTGTATAATGGTGGGGGAAACACGGTCATCACAGCGAACTAGTTCTCTCAAAGACTTGGCAATTGTTTTTACGCCGGGTGTCCTTCCTGACCAACCGCAGACCATCGAGCTACCACAGTCCTCTGTGTGGAGCAGAGAGCTGCATTTGATGTTGTCAGTGTGGGGAGTCAAACCGGCGACCTTCTGATCACAGGCTCACCTTCTCTAACCTCTGCCCCACCACCCCCTCTTTTATTTATGCAAAATAAAGGTAAAATAATTTCAGTTTATTCATTTTGAATAAGCACGTGTAGACCAGCTGTCTCCTGTTGTTCTGATATACCAAAGTTAATCATGGAGTTCCTCAGGGTTCAGTGCTTGGACAAATACTCTTAACTGGCACATGAAAGCTTGACCACATTTCTCCTGTTTTAGCCTCCCTGCACTGGCTGCCCGTACATTCCAGGATTCATTTTAAAATTATTTTATTTGCTTTTGAAGCTCTTAATGGACTTGCCTTGCCCTATATGTCTGAGTTGCTGCATCCGTACACACCCTCTGGATCCCTCAGGTCATGTGATCAGCTGCTTCTGAGTGTGCCGAAGACAAAGCGTAAGCTCAGAGAAGACCGTGCTTTTGCTGCTGTAGCTCCTAAACTGTGGAACGACCTTCAATGAACATCAGACTCTTCCCTGTCGGTTTTTAAATCCTTCTTAAAACCATCTCTTCTCCGTTGCCTTTGACACAATCTGAGATGTTGACTTTTAATCATTTTAGTCGCTCGTATTATCTGATTGTATGATTGTTCAACTTTTATTATGTGACTTTTAATCATTTTAATCATTTTTATTATCTCATTGTATGATTGTTTTGTTGTGTGTACAGCACTTTGGTTCTGTACGTGTGTAAAGTCTCTATAAATAAAGCTGGTATGGTACCTTGTATATGCTTCCATTAGATAAAGTTATTAAACAACATGGGATACATTTTCATTGTTATGCTGATGACACACAATTATATTTGTCCATTAAACCCAATGAATCCAATCAGCTACTTAGACTACAAGCATGTCTTAAAGACATAAAAACCTGGATGACCCTTAATTTTCTCCTGTTGAACACAGACAAGACTGAGGTTTTGGTTTTTGGACCTGAGCACCTTAGGAATGAATGTTTCAGTCTTTCTCCCTCCTTAGATGCATTAATCTGTCCTCCAGCTCTAATGTTAAAAATCTTGGTGTTATTTTTGATTAGGACATGTCTTTTATCCCCCACATTAAAATATAAATATATTATAAATACAAACCGGATTCCAAAAAAGTTGGGACACTAAACAAATTGTGAATAAAAACTGAATGCAATGATGTGGAGATGGCAAATGTCAATATTTTATTCGTAATATAACATAGATGACAGATCAAAAGTTTAATCTGAGTAAATGTAACATTTTAAAGGAAAATATGTTGATTCAAAATTTCACAGTGTCAACAAATCCCCAAAAAGTTGTGACAAGTAGCAATAAGTGGCTGGAAAAAGGAAACTGAGCATATAACGAACAGCTGGAAGACCAATTAACACTAATTAGGTCAATTGACAACATGATTAGGTATAAAAAGAGCTTCTCAGAGTGTCAGTGTCTCTCAGAAGCCAAGATGGTAAGAGGATCACCAATTCCACCATTGTTGCACAGAAAGATAGTGCAGCAATACCAGAATGGTGTTACCCAGCGTAAAATAGCAAAGACTTTGAAGTTATCATCATCAACCGTGCATAACATCATCAAAAGATTCAGAGAATCTGGAACAATCGCTGTGCGTAAGGGTCAAGGCCGTAAAACTCTACTGGATGCTCGTGATCTCTGGGCCCTTAAACGTCACTGCACCTCAAACAGGAATGCCACTGTCAAGGAAATAACAGAATGGACTCAGGAATACTTCCAGAAAGCATTGTCAGTGAACACAATCCACCGTGCCATCCGCCGTTGCCAGCTGAAACTCTACAGTGCAAAGAGGAAGCCATTTCTAAGCAAGCTCCACAAGCTCAGACGTTTGCACTGGGCCAGGGGTCATTTAAAGTGGAGTGTGGCAAAATGGAAGACTGTTCTGTGGTCAGATGAGTCACCATTTGAAGTTCTTTATGGAACACTGGGACGCCATGTCATCTGGACCAGAGAGGACAAGGATAGCCCAAGTTGTTATCAACGCTCCGTTCAGAAGCCTGCATCACTGATGGTATGGGGTTGCATGAGCGCTTGTGGCATGGGCAGCTTGCATGTCTGGTAAGGCACCATTAATGCAGAGAACTATGTTCAGGTTCTAGAACAACATATGCTCCCATCTAGACGTCATCTCTTTCAGGGAAGACCCTGCATTTTTCAACACGATAATGCCAGACCACATTCTGCAGCAATCACAACATCATGGCTACGTAGGAGAAGGATCCGGGTACTGAAATGGCCAGCCTGCAGTCCACATCTTTCACCTATAGAGAACATTTGGTGCATCATAAAGAGGAAGGTGCCACAAAGAAGGCCCAAGACGATTGAACAGTTAGAGGCCTGTATTAGACATGAATGGGAGAGCATTCCTATTTCTAAACTGGAGAAACTGGTCTCCTCTGTCCCCAGACGTCTGTTGAGTGTTGGAAGAAGAAGGGGGGATGCCACACAGTGGGAAAAATGGACTTGTACCAACTTTTTTGGGATTTGTTGACGCCATGAAATTTGGAAACAACAGATCTTTCCCCTAAAATGATACATTCTCTCAGTTTAAACTTTTGATCTGTGATCTGTGTTCTATTCTGAATAAAATATTAGATGTTGGCACCTCCACATCATTGCATTCAGTTTTTATTCACAATTTGTTTAGTGTCACAACTTTTTTGGAATCCGGATTGTACATACCATAAATATTTGGGTATCTTGGTCGACTCACATCTCTCTTTTAAGCTCCATGTGGAAAACTTGGTAAAGAAACTGAAAGTTAAACTGAGTTTCTTTTTCAGAAACAGATCCTGTCTAACTCTGAATGTTAGGAAACACCTTGTATCTGTGACTTTCCTTCCCTCCATTGATTACGGTGACATTATTTACATGAACGCTCCTACAAGAACCCTGCAGATGTTGGATGCTGCAGATGTTGGATGCTGCAGATGTTGGATGCTGCAGATGTTGGATGCTGCAGATGTTGGATGCTGTCTATCATAGTGCACTAAGATTCATAACTGGCTGTGATTATCGTACCCACCACTGCACCCAGTATTCACTGGTTAACTGGTCACCATTAACTTCACACAGACTCTCTCACTGGTACATTTTCATCTTTAAATCACTTCTTGGTCTGCTGCCTTCATACATCTCCTCCTACATGTCTCTGCGTGAGTGCAGCTACAGTGTGCGCTCTCAGGACATCATTACCTGCAGTGTTCCCTCAGTGAGGACTGAACTAGACAAAAGGGCCTTCTCCTCCTCCGCTCCCGTTTCCTGGAATATCTTGTAAAAAGATCTGAAGCTCTCGACCTTTGA